CGCATGACACTCACTCCCAGACGGGCCGAAAATGCGTGTGCGCATTCATTAATCAATCAATCAATCAATTAATCGACGATGAATGGACCGATCAATTGACCAATTAATCGAACGATCAATCGACCGATGATCAATCGTCCAATCAGTCAATCCGTCCGTCAATCAATCATTTAATGGACGATGAATGGACCGACCGATCAATTGACTGATCATTCGACGATCAAGCGACCGATGATTACTCCACCGATCAGTCAATCTGGCAATTAATCAATTAATCAATTTATCGACGATGAATGGACCCGGTCAATTGACCAATCAATGGACGATGATCAATCGACCGATCAGTCAAATCTGTCAATCAAGAAGCAATCGTAGGGTCAATCAATGAAGCGGATTCAATACTGGGCGTTATCGAGGCTGTCACTGATCGAAAAAACTATTCAGTATTCTCTACCAATAGGCCTACCTTTTTTCCCCGAACAGAACGTACGCCGGTCATTATGCCTGTATTTGAGGCATTTTTCAGTCCAAATACTGCAATAATGATCGTACGTTCTATTTGGGGGAAGACGGTAGCTCAGTTGGTACATCACTGATGATCTTTCAAAATGCATGCCCGAGTTCGAGTCCAGATGCAAAGCATCTGACCAAACTAAAAAACGTGCTACCTGGGCCGGTCAGTTCACTGATGATATCTCACGGCCGAAAGAAAGAAAAAAAAGCTGAAAAAAAAAAAAGAATCTTCTCTTCATTGGAAGCTGTCACGCGTGGGTCTGAGCGACGGGGGTTGAATGCTCCATTGTGCGACAGTGAAAAAAAAAGAAAAGAGAAAGGGTTGCGGGAAAAAAAAAAAAAAAAAAAAAAAAAGGTTTGGGAAGCAACAGTGTTAAGCAAGAATTATTGTTTTGGTGCAAAAGCAGCAAAACAATGAAAAAACTTCCGCAGTACCAACGAGGCTTGCTCGCCCGCCTTACGGGCACTAAGCTTGACTGGTTCTCTGTATCTTCTGTTCGTTGTGTTCAGGGGATTGGTCCCCTCGGGCTTTTTTTTTTTTTTTTAATTATTATTTATTTTTATTTTTTCCCTCGGGCTTCGACCCGGAAGCGAAACTGGGTAATAATGCTCCCAGCCTCCGGATAGACTGTGAGGACGCCGGCCTCAAATTGCTATTAGTATAAGGGACGTTGGGCCCGGGGCGTGGTCCCACTACCGTCTTCCCCCGAACATAACGCACCCTGAAAATGAACGTATGCAAGGCAAAGAGGATCGGATCGAATGCCTGAATCTGGACGAGTTTATGGAGATGTGTAGGAAATCGAGATTGAACTGCTTTTCTGCATCTCTGCTTAAAACACATCCAGATTCAGGAGCTCGATCCTATCCTTTTTGCTAGTGGGACCTCGGCCCCGGTTCCCAACATGTGCAGCTCCCCACGAATAGAAACGAGCATGTGTTTTCGGGAAAAAAAAAAAGAAAAAAAAAGAACCGAGGCTTGCTCGTACACACGAACTGTTGAAAATTGAAATACAGACCCGTGTTCAAATCCAGACACGATCAGATGACCATAAGGAAATAATTCTGGAAAGGAAAAAAAAGAGCCAAATTAGTTAATTCCTTCCCCCTTCCGCCCCCCCGCCCCCACCCCCCCCAAAAAAAAAAAAAAAAAAAAAAAAAAAAAAAAAAA